CAAATCAAAAAAAATGTGGTCATAATCTTATAATGAATGCCCATATGAATTATGAGTTACCCTGGGTTATCTCGCCGCCCCAAAATGCATGAGCTAATATTACTAATGTAATGTTTTACACCTGCTACTTTAGCATACAGTATACTGTATCTTTGAACAAACATTTCAGAAAATGTTTAGAAAGATAAAAAAAAATGTGCACGTTCAGGCATCCTACAGGCCAAGTCTCATGTGGATCAGTACTACATGTCTGGACATGTCTGCTGTATTAGAGGTGGCCCACTTTACAGCCTCCTTACAGAGAGGATGCAGAGCAGCAAGCAGGTAATGAAGCTTGTTTTATTGATTCATGGTAATATCATTTATTATATATTTAGATAAATACTAACTGGACAAACTGCAGGTCTAACGTGTATTTATTTTGGCAGTGAAGGCCTTACGATGTCATAATAACCTGACTTAGCTTTTGTGATAATTATTAAGGCTTTCTTCTCCTTTATACACATACACAGTAGCTTAAAATGTAAACTACAGTGTATGTGTATAAATGAGAAGAAAGCATGCGCTTAGACACCAGTATTTTTTGTACATTTTACATCTTTTGTGTGACTCTAGAGACATTGAAGTGCTTCTTCTGGGAGACTTGTACCTCTGCTGTCATTTCTGCTCTTGTGTTCGTCTTTAGAGCACTTTTCAATGTTTAATGCTGGTAAGATGACACGGATCTTATTATGACTGTGCACGCCCTCCCATTTTTGTTTGCACCGCAATGTGGAAAGTAACACCAAGAGTCTAGTTGTGTTTGTGCGTTCAAATAAAAAAAGAATACACGCAACCAGGCCAGCAGGTTCCACCACAGTATATGCATCATCCAATGGCAATCATGTACATGAAAAAATGTCAGTAGTTTATGTTTTAGACTTTGTTTTTGTGCAGGAGTTCAGGGAGAAGTCTTTGATCGAGCCTCAAACATCACGTCTGATTTTTGCCTCCTTCTTGATCTCCTCTGAGCTGTAAAGATCTCACTAAGAACAACATAAACTAGATTTGAGCTCTTTTCAGCTCACACAGTTTCTACCTTTAATGTACAACGAGGCAAAGAAACCAAGTCTCCTGCGAGTAACCTTGTGTTCTTTACATTGTGAAGCTGCTTTCACTTCCCTTATTAAGCTCGGCTACGACGCCTGTAGGTCCTTGAAGGTTTGCATTGACTGAGCAGCTTTTTGTTGAAATATGAGTCAGAGTGAGAAAACCATGCTGCAGCTGCTTGGCAGTGAAATCACGCTACACACTTTGTATTATTTTTATTTTTTTATAGTTGGAACAGCTGAGGAAACAGCTTCAGTATGTGCAGTTAACGTGTCTGCATTTACATGCAAGTGTTCGTATGTTTTTCAACTCATTGCAGACTACAACAAAATATGCAACATCGTTTAGAGGAAATTATATTGCATATGTATGCATTTTAGGGATGCATGATATTGGATTTTTGGCCGATATCCGATATGTTAAAACTTATTTGGCAGATTACCGATACTGATATTTTTAATATACGTTCCTTTGTCAGAACATAACCCTCTTATTTAGGCTTATTTGCTACAAAAATTGTGTAACAGCTGTAAGAGCTGGTGACATATATTCAGTAACAGCCATATGATATGTATAGCACTTGAACTTATATTAAATGAAAAGTGTTAAATATTATTTATTAGCATTAGTCACATATGATGCTGTCTCACTTGTGGAGGCTTGTTCCAGGTTCCTAGCTGCAGTGTGGGATCCTCTGCTCTGTTGTGCATGAAGGACAGCCTTTTTAAGTTCAAAGTTTTTGTCTATCCATTGTGCTGTAAAACTAATCATGCTAACGAGGCTAACATGATGTCTAAATGTCTGTGGTAAAACTCACTCAAGTGCTATCGGCTATTAGCTTCTCAATGATGCCGGAAATGACAGCTTGTAATTCGGGTAAGGTTACGTTGGAACAATATCTCTGACTGGGAACGATGTAACGAGGCTCAACGTAGTCCATAAATCTTCGTAATCCAATATGCTCAACAACAAAAAAAACCTTCCACACCTCCGACATTCTGAATTTTCCTCTCCGCCGTGATCAGATCAGGTAGGCGCGTGACATCATCACGTTATGCTGGTGCTGCAGGCATCCTTGTCACTGGATTGTCATAAAAAAAACAGCACCTCTTATATCAATGAGTTATTTTGATGGAATGACCGATGTCCAATATTGAACTTTAACGTTAATATCGTCCGATACCACGCCGATAATATCGTGCATCCCTACTGCATTAGATGTGGTGGTTAATGTTTGAGTCACTGCTAACTTTTTATTTTCTGTAAATCAGTTTTACCAAAAGTTACCACATGCACAATTTTATTTGCTTTTTGTTCTATTAACAGCTTATGTTAATTATTGAACGATGAAATTTAAAATGGAAATGGTATTGGCAGATGGGAGCTTTATTCTCACAGTGAAATAACTGAACCACTTCCCCTCCTTAGAGCAACTGAGTCTACCTCACAGCCTTGAACCATTTCACCTCTTTGTTTTCTTGACAAAGCCTTGAATAACCCAACGTTGGGAAATCTGCCAGTCTTGAGAGCAAAGATTAAACATCAAAGTCTAAATTTAGTTGAACTTTTACATAATGTAAACCAAACGGTACAGTAGACGGGGATATGTTGCAGTTAAAAGTTTATTAGGACATTTTATTTATTTTTTGCCATGAAACAGTGCACATAATTCAAACTCTTTGTGATTAGGAAAGTAGTAATTTGGACGTTGCACGTTCTGTGGAGGAAATATAAAAACACATTATGAGGGTGCAATTCACAGGCAAGTGATTAAATGTACAAAAAGTTTGCTGTTCAAATGGCAATGTTTGTCACACGGTCTCCAGCCAGCTTTGGAATAAACATCCAGCTGAGGAAAGAGCAAAAAATATATATACTCTCAAAATTATGTATGTGTTTTAAAAAATGTGCATTGTGCTGTTTGGTGCTAAATTACACCATTTTTTCAACAAGTCAAGTCAAATTTATTTATAAAGCACATTTAAAGACGGTAGCTGTTACCAAAGTGCTTCACAATAAAAATCAATGGCAGTAATTTAATGAAAAAAATAATAACAAACGTTAATTAAAAGCATAAAAACACAAAACAATAAAATTCTAAATCAAATCACTCTGTGCTAAACATCAGAGAAAACAGGTGTGTTGTTTAAAAGAGATTTAAAAACAGGAAGTGAAGTGGCCTGTCTAATGTTGGGGGGCTGATTGTTCCAGAGTTTAGGGCCCACGACTGAAAAGGTCTGATCTTCTCTGAGCTTCAGCCTGGTTTTTGGTACAACAAAAAGCAGCTGGTCAGATGAACTCAGCACCCGAGAAGGAACATATGGTTCAAGTACCATATTTTTTGGACTATAAGGCACACTTGAAATCCTTTAATGTTCTCAAAAATCAACAGTGAGCCTTATAACCAGGTGCACCTTATGTATTAATTCTGGTTGTGCTTACTGACCTCAAACCAATTTTATGTGGCACACGGCGCACAAAAATCTGTCAAAATGTTTTAGTTTTGCTTAATGTGCCTTATAATCTGGTGCGCCTTATAGTCTGAAAAATGCGGTAGGTCAGAGAGATATGAAGGTGCAAGGCCATTTAGGCACTTAAAGGTCAACAGGAGAATTTGAAAATCAATTCTGACACGTACAGGGAGCCAGTGAAGGGAGGACAAAACTGGTGAAATATGATCAAACCTACGAGTTTCTGTTAAGAGCTGAGCTGCAGCAATTTGGACGAGCTGGAGACGTGAGAGGGACACCTGACTGACCCCAACATAAAGCACGTTACAGTAGTCCAGTCGGGTTGTAATGAAGGCATGGACTATTTTCTCAAGGTCGGATCTGCTCAACACTGATTTAAGCTTAACTATCTGCCTTAACTGGAAGAAGCTTTTCTGTAGAACAGAGGTAATGTGTTTATTAAACTTAAAATCAGAGTCTAAAACCATCTCGGGATTTGTAACAGACTGCTTAAGATATGGCTCAAGAGAGTCAAACTTTACAGAAACAGAGACCGCAGTAGAGCTAGGGCTAAACACAATAACTTCAGTTTTCTGATCATTCTAACTTAAAACATTTGAATCCATGCCTTGATGTCATCAAGACGTTTTAACAGAGGGTGAATGGAGCAAGAACTACTGGGTTTTAAGGGCAGATATATCTGACAGTCATCAGCATTGCAATGAAAGGAAAGACCAATAAAAGTAATAAAGTAAAAAATAAATAAATAAAACTTGTCAAAATGATTTTCTTTCTTTATTTATTTAGTAACAGTATTCACCAAGCTTGTTTTCTGTTTTTGGTCAGGATGTCTGCTTGTCTAACCTGAAGAGAAGAAGATTGGTGGCAAACTTCTGGCTGACGTGTCATCCACAGACTGCACAGGACAATCAAGGGTTCTGCTACCAAGTGGGTGAGTGGGGGTGCTGTGCACTGTGACTGTGAGAATGATGGTGGCTTTACTGAGACAGCTGCAAAAATAAAAAAAAAATTAAAAGCAGATACCGTAATTTAATTGCATGACAGGTCACATTGAAGATTAGGAAATTTGCCTGTATGTGGAACAATGGAAGTAAATGAATCAGTGCTTTGTACAACCTGAACCGTTTGATCCTTGGTCTGTATGCATGAATGTACTGTCTGGGTACGAATCCCACAGTAGCTCACATTCATGCAGCACGTCTGTCTGAGTCTCCATCTCTCAGCCTCCCTCCTCCCTCTGGCTGCTGCTCCCTCCGCCTCCTTCCTGTCCGTGTGAGCGTAGTCTGGGCGCCGAGCCAAGTAGAGTGTGTTTTTTTGAATGAATACCTGATGCGGATGATGAGGTTGGCTGGGGGAGGAGCCGTGTCAGTGGAGTACTGAGCGAGCGAAAGAAGCAGGAGGGAGGGAGGGAAAAGGAAAGGGAGGCAGAAACACAGAGTGAGCGAGCAGGAGACAGAGAAGCAACCAGGCAGAGAGGGAGCTGGCGGACTGGTGGCCTTGCTTGCATAACACACATTTGGAGCAGCCTTGCACGCAGGACTTGGTGAGATCTCCACCAGGAGGGAACTTCCTTTCTCGGCATTGTTGCAGGGACAAGCAGGAATCCACAGAGAGGGAAGGCAAAGCTGAAGCAGCTACGGAGCAAACCTCCACAAGAGAGCAGCACAAAGAGGAGGTTCAAGATCAGGAGTCCCAGGACACAGACACTGACAGGGAGGAAGAGTCCTGGGCTATGCTCTGCAAGCAGTGGCTGTGGAGAGTCTGGTGAGCTATTCTTAGTACTTTAACCAGGGAGAGGGGGAGGGAGGAGAGGGGGGCGTCTTTTCTTCTTGATTTGTAGCATAGTAGTAATTCTGCTCTGCTACTACACTCATGCACTCTCACTGTTAAGCCCCCAGGGACTGGAGTCACAGCATCTGTCCTCTGATCTGTCCAAAGTCCCGTCCCAGATGTGGGATTTAATTGCACCGTCCCTGTTGTGTTTGCAGAGAGGGGATAACACGTATAACACGTCTCTGCTACGACGCACGGTGAGACGGGAGCGCGGTGAGCAGTGATGCAGAACTCAGGAGTCATTGTGAAGACAAACAGCCTGAACCTCACTGCCTGTTCTTACTGTCTGCTGCCACACGGTCGGTCCGCCTCTTAAAGGTGCAGATGCCACCGTTGCACCGTGAAGAAGACATGAAACAATGTCTCTTTTCGATACGAGAACAAGCAGGACACTTGCAGGTTTTCTTTGTGGCGGCGAAAGCAGATTTGTTTGCGAGATGACGTCTCCTTTCTATGCAGTGATCAACACATAAACGTGCATGAACATATTGTCCTGCATGGTACCTCCCCCCTTCTGTTTCATGCCAGAGCTCAGATTGATAATGATGTTTTTGTTGTCTATATATAGCCTTTTGCTGTACAGGGTAATCACTGCGTTCCTATGACTGGTTTAGTAGGTGAAAATGATGTATGGGTGGCTCGACAACAGGTCCACCACTTGAATTTGCCTTTATTGGCTTAAATCTCATGCAGAGAGCCACGTCTCTGCACTGTTGAGAAATAATTTGGTATGCCTCCTCGCACAATCCTGCTGCAGAGAAAATGTTATTTCTATGAAGCCATAGATCAATACGAGGAATTAAAGAGAAGTCTGGGAGCAGACTAGCAAATCTGGTAGAGGGAAAAGAGGTGGGGGATTGAACAAACCAGCAACTGCAGCACAACCAAGGAGATGAAACCCTGCTGGGGGGCCTCTCACCTGGAGACAGCAGAGAGGAGGCTGAGTGAAATCATCTCGTCTGCAGACACAGACGGCTGCACAAGCCTGTCTCTGTAGTGTTTTACAGAACAGAGATCACACGTTAAGTGCGCTTCATCTCTGTCTGTCTGAGCTGAAACGCATCAGTGTGGTGAGCCGAACAGAGCACGTTCTGTCCCTCTGCTCTACGTTGTCATCCCTCCTTAGAGGTGTCAGCACCAAGACTAGTTCAAGGCTCCCATGCCGCCTCCGTTGGTGGGACTGTCACGTCTTGAAAGCTCTCCTTTGTTCCTCATAGTAACATTTAAGCCTTATGTTTGTTGGTGTCACTGCTCCTAATTATAGGCTGACATGGGGAAAATCTAGGGAGGATCTTGGCAGCTGATTGGTGTGTGTGCATGTGTTTTCTAGGAGAGTAGAGACACCCTCCTGTTTTTGTTCCTGCGAACTGCTCGTGCGTGTTTGTCGGTTTAGAACCACCGCGCTGCTTTGAGGATAAGAGATGCTTGTGCTTCAGATGTGATGTCATTACATTGTTGACAAAGTGTTGCTGAGGTGGGGTTGTGTTGCCACTGAGCAGTTGCTGCACACTGTAGCTCAGACTGTAGTGGCAGCTGGGCTGCTGATCGGGGATCTCTTGGTGAGGCGGGGGCAATGGCGCTCTGATGCTGCAGGCGCTGCTCAATGTGGGTCAGGAAAAGCAGAACTCTTGTCTTTCTTCTCCCCATCTACATCTCGTTTTCCTGATCTCCTTCCCCTTGTTCTCGTTCCCCGCTTCCCCACAGTTCTGCATCATGCATTGTGCTTCCTCTCCTCCCCTTCGTTCTCCTCTCTTTGACGCTGTTTCTCTCCATCTCTGCTTCTGTCCTCCTTTGTTACATTTGGTGAGTCTACTCTGCTGTAAACTGAGCAGAGGTTCTCGCTGCTTTTGGATGCAGTGACCTTGTCGAAACCGGCGTTGGAGGGAGATGTGTCCAAATACAACAAAATGACCAAGCTTGCTTTTTTCCTCCTCGGTCCTTATGTAACATGTCTGCGTTTGTTTCCTATAGTGAGAGAGTGTCTGGTGCAAACACACTGAGGCATGATCAACCAGTGCAGTGAAACACCTCTGAATTCAGAGTATACAAAGAAAAATAAATGGAGGGATGTATATTTGTCTTTCAAACACACACACACGCACAGAGGTTTGTTTTACTATCTTTATGGGGACTTTGCATTGACTTCCATTCATTTTCATTCATTTCTATAGCCTAACCCTGACCTTTCTGACCTTTACCCTAAACCTAAAACATTACCAGTACATACCTAACCCTAAACATAACACATCCTCAATTCACACCTTAGTCCTAAACCTAACCCACCATTGGTACTTCTTATGGGGCCCGGGCTTTAGGCCCCATAAGGAGTAGTTGGTCCTCACAATGTAGTATAAGTTGGAAAAATGGGCCTTACAAAGTAACATAAACAAACACACACACACACACACACACACACACACACACACACACACACACACGGTCCACCTTATTGGAGCTTCTGGCTAATGAACAACTCAGAGTCCTATGCACTGACCCACGGATAAGCCTGCCGGAACAAATAGTTCCTCAGAGAGACAAAACTGCTAAAAAGAAGTTCATGAGAAGTAAAAATCCTTGTTAATTCAATTAGAATCCATAAAAGCTGTGAAGACGTTTTAATGTGTCTAATCATAAATATTCTGTATGATCATGCCTCCTCTGGAAACTATTTCTGTAGCGACGCTAAGAGCCTGTTTCGCTTCTCATTTAAGCTAACTTTTAGTTTGCCTGTTTCTAAAATAAACTCATTACTCGTTAATTGTCCTCTTTCCTGTTTATCCTAAATCCATTATTCAAACAACACATAATACAATACCATTATTAAAATATTTAGTTGCACTTTGTTGACTGGAGGAACAAGCCTTGCTGCATTAAGCACAATCAGACTTCATGTTCATGTTTTCACATATAGTGCCCACTGACCCAGAGTTCCTTTCTGTGGGTGGATTTATTTTTACAGAACTGGTCAAACCCACTGACTCAACACAAGTTCTCTGATTGTTAAAATAAAGACAAAAGCACACACTGCCCATTAATAGATTGTTTCCAAATACTCATATCGCTTCACTCAGCTTCCTTAAAATAAACCCTGATGTAGTTCAGCAAACGTTACATGGAGAGAAATCCTTGTGCAAAATAAGTAGTTGTACAACAATGTACTGCACTTTCTGCTTGTTATAAATGAATGTACAAGGAAAACAAGGTTGAGTTATGAAGTAAATTCATGTAGTTCACTAGGTGAATCTCTGGAGGTTATTCTTAGAGACAGAACTGCAACCACTGGATCACATGTTGTGCTCAAGTGCATGAGATAAACAAAAATCAAAAACATTGCTGATAGCTGGTGACACCTACTGGCAGAACAAAGAACACCAATAGGCACAACGACATAAAATTAAAACAAGTTTTACTCAAGCCAAGTACTTTACATTAAACAGCCCCTCTACAAATAGGTAATTGTAAATTACATCTGATATTCACCCTTTCTACTTACAGATTCCTGCTAACATAGTGGACGCAGTGGATTGTCAGAGATGATTCCTCATGAAGTTTATGGAGCTGATTTTGTGAGCTGGAATGACTCAGTTTTCTCTGGTGTGGTAGCTGATCCAGTCCACCAGTAACTTCAAAGAGTCAGAAGCACAGGGAGCACAGAGGTCATACCCAGACAGTGGATCTGAGAAGAGGAGAAGCCTAAAAGTAATACAAAGTAACATTAGGACCACGGTGACACTATGAAGGCCAATCAAGAGCGGAGTAATGGATGCCTGCCACCTAAGAAGCGAGAGATCCTGGCATTGGAGCAGAGGCCTGTAGTAGTAGCTGCAGCAACATCCCCTGCTGTGGTGCCCACTGATGGTCCCCACGCAGAAAACCTAGCATGGCTGGCAAGTGTGGCCAGTGAACGCTGCAAGTCCAGAGAGGCTGAGAGTCCAAGATGTCCAGTCCCCCCCACCACGTCATCTCCTTCCACGTCCATCCCCTCTCCAGCAAATCCCCTATCTGCCGTGCCTTTGGCTTCTCTACCTGCAGTTTACCCAGCTGCCCTTCCCCAGCAAGCTGGAACGATCCAGTTTGCTCAGCTGGGACCCAATGTCCAGTTCATCAGCTCTGGGCCCTACGCTGGGTACATCTCCTCTCACATCATCCCAACTAATGCTAGTCCTGCACCTAACAGCACTGCTATATTAGGACATCGTTCCCAGACTGATGGTTACACCACGGCCCTTGTGTCCCCCAACGCCAAAGGGGAGTTTCAAATAGGTCTCTCCCCCACAGATCTAGCTCCTGTGTCACTTTCAAGTTCTCCTCAAATCCCCAACCAGTACATCCACCTGGATAACAGAACACCTTTAACTGTCAGCAGAAATGCCGTGACGTCACCCACAACCCACCTCCAGCTCCACCCGCACACCACCGTCCTCCCTCAGACGCTTACGCTTGCCTCGTCACAGCTTGTGGTTCAGTACGCAGATGGTTCAGCTGGAAAGAAGCCTGAGGGGCATGCTAAGGGTGTGATGAACGGAGACCTGGAAGTGGTCAAGCAAGTAAAGTCCTCCAGCCATGCAGTCAGCCATGCAGTCAGCCATCAGTCAGTCCAGAGCTATGAAACTAGACATATCCTCCTACCTGCTGACTATGGCCAAAATCCTGCAGGGCTTCAGACCTCCCTGCTTCTTGTAGCCCAACCCAACCACACAACCGAACATGAGGCTGGCTCAAATAAGATCTCCTTAGTCCAGACTGAGAAAGGAAGCATCTGTTTGGGGAAACCAATAGCCAGGGCCTCCTCTTTCTCTTCCCTTTCTTCTTCAGAGGTGGTGAAGTCTGTTGCTCCTCATGCTGTCATCCAGACCTCTCTACCCCACGAAGAGCTGCCAGCCAGTCTCTACTCCTCCGCACAACCTCCCATCATTGGCTATATCACCAGCGGAAACCAGCACACTGTTAGCTACCATGCCGCGCTGCCGCAGCATCTGGTCATCCCGAGTGGCCAGTCCCTCCTCATTCCGGTCAGCAGTGCCAATAATGGCACAGAAATTGAGGTTAGCCGTGCTGTCAGCACCTTAACTGCCACTACTACCCCTCAAATATCCACTGCCATGCCGCATGCTTATCTAGCCACGGCTCTGTCCAAGTGTGAGGCACTTGGGCCAGATGGAAATCAACCCCCCTCAGCTTTGGTACAGGCTGCAACATTGCCTGCACTGCCCTCGAACCCTGTGCCCACCGCGGTGGCAGCTCCTCTCCCAGCTCCCACTCCTGCTCCCACTTCCGTCCAAGCCTCCCCATCCCCATCTGTCTCTTCTCCACCATCTCCCGTGGCGCTTCCTCCATTTTTCATGCGAGGCTCCATCATCCAGCTGGCTGACGGGGAGCTAAAGCGCGTGGAGGACCTCAAGACGGAAGATTTCATCCAGAGCGCTGAGATCAGCAGCGAGCTGAAGATCGACTCAAGCACTGTGGAGCGCATCGACAGCGGGCAGAGTCCCAACGCTGTGGTCATCCAGTTCTCTGTGGGAGAGCTCAAAGCTCAGGCAAGTTATCTCTAAATAATCTTCAGTGTTTTATTTTTAAAGTCATCATGGGTAGAGTTTAATGTAATGCTACTGTAATGGTTGACATGCTTCATTTTTTGTCTGACGTGTCCCATAAATGAAAAATAATATTGATTTTATTTTGATTGTTTTCTTTATTTGATCTTTATTTTATTTTTATGGGCCAACTGTATGGCACTGTGGCTCAGTCGGTAGAGCTGTTGCCTCTCAGCGAGAAGGTTGCCAGATCAAATCCCAGCCGGGGCCTTTCTGGTGGAGTTTCATGCTCTCTCCGTGCATGTGTGGGTTTCCTCCCACAGACCAAAAACATGCATGTTAGGCTGATTGGTAACTCTAAATTGTCTCTAGGTGTGAGTGAGAGAGTGAATGGTCGTTTGTCTCTATGTGTCCCTGTGATGGACTGAGACCTGTCCAGGATGTCCCCCGCCTCTTGCACTGTGACTGCTGGATATGGGCACCGGTGACCCCCATGATCCAGAAAGGAAGAAGAGAGTAAAAGATGATGGATGGACCCTACCAGTGTTTAGATGTTGTGTTTTGGGCTTGTTGTGACTTGTTTTTAATGTTCTTATAATTTATTTTATTTTTCAAGTTTTTTACAGTTTCTCCTGTGTATTGAAATGATGAATGATGAAGAAAAGGCTCATGCTCTAAACCTTCCTCTGCAAGGTTAATGAGAATAAAGGACTTAATATTTTAAATTTAAATAATAAATAATTTGGAAAGAAATAATACATTTCCTTCGTGAGGCAATTGTCAGCAATATTCAAGTTTTCTAGATTCACTTTGTGTTAAAGTAATGCATACTTTTGTTATTTATCAACCAGTTTCTGCAGTTTAGTTTACTGACAAGGGATGTACAGTAAGTGTCTTTTTTGTAGCTTGACATGTTTCTGGATGTGCTTTTGTAAAAATCTAGCCATGTTTCCCACCCAGGTGTGTGTGGAGGTCTTGGTGGAGTATCCTTTCTTCGTATTCGGCCAGGGCTGGTCGTCTTGCTGCCCCGATCGGACCACCCAGCTGTTCGAGTTGTCCTGTGCCAAGCTGTGTGTGGGAGACGTGTGCGTGTCGCTGACCCTTCGCAGTGTGAGGAACGGCTCACTCACAGACAGTCGGCCTTCTGGGACCAAGCTGAAGGCCGGTCACTTCTCAGACTCTTCTCACAACGGGGATCCAAACGTGAGGAACGGTTTGAGTCCTCCAGGCAGTAACGGTACTCTTCTCATGAAGGCTTCCCGCACAGACTTTGTGGACAGGCAGCAGGTTACTGGTTCTGGACCAGCAGTACCACTACCAGCAGAACTAGAACCAGCTCCAGGACAAGCAGAGGGCATCTACAGGGCCCAAATGGCAGTTCAGGGGACTGAAAAAGTAAGACAGGAGTCCATCAAAACAGACCTCTCGAAACTACAGTGCATTGATTCTGACAGACCTTCATCTCGCAAGAGACGCTGGTCTGCTCCAGAGCGAGACCAGACCGAGAAAGGTGAGGAGGAGCCTCCCCTGACTCTGCCCAAACCCTCCTTCCTCCCACAGGAGGTCAAAATCAGCATAGAGGGCCACTCCACTGCTGGGAGTGAAAGATTTTAAACAAAACAGAAGACTGTTAAAAGAAAAAAAACATTAACTTTTTAATATTTGTGGTTTGCTTTGTGTTCGACCTCCCTGTTTTCAATTAATCAAGGCTACTGTAATATAAACCCAACATTTTCTTTCATACGAGTCTATGAAGAAGTACAGAAGAGCATCTTCTTAAAGTGGGTATCACACACAAGACCAGTGCAATTAAAGCTGAGAGCAAAAGCAAATGTGGCGTGAATGTGGGTCGTGAATGGCAGCCAGAGATCTGAGAGACCCGAGTGTTAGTACAATAAGCTGGATCGGTTTAGTGTAATTCTGCGAGGCTCAATCCTGTTAGTGATTTTTTTAAATCCTCAGATTAAGCACAGTCCTCACTGATAATGTGTAGGAGATGGGTATATTTTATTAATTTCAATTCTGTGTTACAGCTGAGATGTGAGTGACAGTTAAAAAAAAGGACTTAGAGTTGCGATGACAATATTCGATGACTGGCTGTGAGCTCTGTCGTCCCGTGTGGTTCGTTTTGTATCATTTGTTACGGTAACACTGTTATGAATGTGTGAACTGCTGCAGGTGGCCTTGTTCCTCCGTATCATTGTGCGCGAGCGTGCAGATTGTTGTTTTTGTGGCCCGTCAAACAGAGCACAGGTTATAAGGTGCATTTCAAATTGTTAGCCACAAACTCAGTTGACGATGTTCACTAAGAAAGGCCTGAATGTAAACCTGCTGATGGTCGCCCACAGAGTCGTAATGCATCCGGCGAGTTTGCAGTGAATCTGGTTTCGTGTTTGCGGCAGCAGGTTGGTTGTAGCAGTTGTGTTCAGATAAATTCCTCTCATCAGATTCTTCAGTTTTCTTTAGTTGCGCCTTGACCTTTACTTTTGTACCTTTCTTTCAGCGACTGTATGCTTTAGTGTTCAGTTGTGGCTTTTTACTTCTCTTTTTTTTGGTTAACACCACTGAATAAGATCCCATTTTTTAAATATGCACATGAGTTCAGCCTTTCTACTGCAGTAAGAAGTAGTTCTTATGAATTTGTCTGCTGCAATTAATGTTCTTGGACGCCTGAGGGCAGTGCAGCAAACTCAAAACATTGGAACGTGTGGACATGCTCTGCCAAGGCCACTTAAACTTTACTTGTTCAAAAGTTGACCTGCCCCAAATTATACTCCATCTTAGTGTCTGTTTTACTCCAAATGGGATGAAACCTTACAAAAAGATTTTTATGTTGTGATATATTAAGATCACATGTCCCATTTTATGTATTACTGCCAAACCGTTAAAAAGTTTTACGTCATAAGTTCTTTCCTAAACACTTTTTTGTAACCTTAATGGAAAATGTGTCAAGTAAAGGTAGTAGGGATGTGAGAAAAGAAAAGTGCTCTGACATTAGGGTGTGGACATACTATGGTGCAACCGAAACTTTTCCAACAGTGAACTACAAAACCCACAATTCTTAGCTCAGTGCTTAAAATCTAATAGAAAAAATAACCCTCCTGGAAAAGACTTGCTGTCACTGCACAGTAGCATCCATTTTTCTGTCCTGATTATTATTTATATGAAGAGAAGGACCATTAGAAAATAACTGAACTTTCTTTAAGTGTTGCATTTTTTCTATACTAAAGGAGGAATTAAGGCTAATTTTCTTAGCGTTAAAGTAAACAAAGTGATTTTTTTTTTGTTTTTGTTTTGAGATGTTTCTTTTCTTCCAGACTTCCTAAGCACCCCACAAACTATTTAAACACACTTGTAAACATTTATTCAAGATCTTATTTTTTGGTCCCAGGCTTAAATTTTTTTTAAACTGAAGTTTTGGGATACTTCTAGATTGGCTTCATTTCTCTGACCTGGAGGCCAAGTCCATCAGTTACATCCAAATTGTTACAGCAATGTTTATTTTATGGACAATCTGATCAATCCAGATTATTGTAACTCATTATGGATTATTATTATTTTTTTATTAACAGCTTCTGGAAGTACATCTGTCTCTTGGCTCTACATAACCAACTAGTTGCTAAATTGCTAGTTGGTACAGAGTAATAAAAAATACTATTTAAAAACAACTCAGTAAAAGGGTTGGTAAAATACTATTGATATAACAAGATGAGAATGTGTTGTAGGCCAGGAAGACACTATATTAAAGGGATAGTTCAACTCTTTTAAAGGGTTCTTATTGTAAGATTATGAATAAACAATATCTTACCTGTTGTAGATGGCTTTTTGAGCAACCTCAGTTTGGCGTAAAATGGTTTAAGTCTGACTGGACTGATGAGGTAACAAATTGTCCACACTTGTGACAGTTTCACCCCACACCGTGATTCGATTCTAGTTATTTGCAAGTACAAGTAGTGGCAACAGCAGCTAGCTGTAGCACTTCCAGTGCAGCATGAAACACAGGCAGGAATATCCTAATGTTTTTGCCAGAATAAATGTGTTATACAAAACTGAGCATGATCTGGTACCAAATTTTTAAGACTGGGCTTTGAGGAGACAACAATCCACTTTGTCTCTTGACCTCACTCAGACTAGCCATTAGCTCATCCAGTCTGGTCAGAAATAAACCGCTCTTCTCCAAACGGAGGTCATTTAAAGAGCTGTTGAGAACAGGTAGGATAAATATTGTTCATAATATTTCCACAGAATTCAGCTTCAGGAGATCTGAAGTCTTACTGGAAGGATTATGCTAACATATCCTGTAGAAACATGGCAAACAATGTCTGGTCATGAAAATGGAATTTGATACAAAAAGTTCTTATTAGTTTTTTACCTTTTGTTTTTACAGAAATACCATATCACAGCAGCAACCTCAGTGATGGTATGCCTCTCTCAGGTCCAAACCTGATTTTTTTCAAAGTACTGATGTTTTGATTAAAGCGGGAAATGCTCTCTTTCTATTTGACTAGTTTACACGTAACTTCTTAGAGGGGGAAAAAAGCGAGCTCCTATAGTTCATACTCAGGAACAGTGTGTATGTGTGTGTGTAAACAGACTATCTCTGTGTGTGTGTGTGTTCTGAAAAGCAGCACTTTGATAGAGGATCCAGTTGGAGTGTGGTAACAGCGGTGACCCTCTCCCTCAGTTGTTAGATATACAGGTGCATCTAAAAAATGAGATTATTGTGAAAAGTATTTTTTTGTCAGTCATTTCACAAAGTGAAACTCCTATAGATTCATTTCACAAAGTGAAATATTTCAAGCCTTCATTTCTTGTGATCTTGATGGTTATGGCTTACAGATAATGAAACAAACAAAACTCAATGTCGTACCTGACTGAACAATGACTGGACGAGTCTTCTAGAAAAGGCAGACAGCACTGTGAGAGTCATGTTCTTTGATTTCTCCAGTGCATTTAACACAGTCCAGCCTGATTTGCTTTGTCAGAAACTCCCAAAAAAAACTCAGGTGGAGGCCTCAAACAATCACCTGAATCAAAGACTACCTGACAAACAGACCACAGTTTGTCAGACTGAAGGGTTGTGTGTGTAACCAGGTGGTCAGTAGCTCAGGAGCACCACAGGGAACTGTACTCTCACCACTCATTTTCACTCTGTACACCTCAGATTTCCAGTACAAAACAGACTCCTGTCATCTGCAGAAATATTCTGATGACTCTGCAGTGGTCGGGTGTATCAGAGATGGACAAGAAGCTGAGTACAGGGAACTGGTGGACCGCTTTGAGGCATGGTGTGGAAACAATCATCTCATCTTGAATGTGAACAAAACAAAGGAGATGATTGTAGATTTCAGGAGAAACAGGAACAAGTTCAACCCTATTTCCATCATGGGAGAAGAAGTGGAGGTGGTGGAGAAGTATAAATACCTTGGAGTTCACCTGGACAATAGACTGGACTGGAAATGCAACAGTGAAGCGTCTACAAGAAGGGACAGAGCAGACTGTTCTTCTTGAGGAAGCTGAAGTCCTTCAACGTTTGCAGCAAGATGCTGCATATCTTCTATAAGTCTGTTGTAGAGAGCGCTATCTCTTCTGCCATCATCTGCTGGGGGAGCAGCACCAGAGCAAGTGACTTAAAAAAGATCAACAAGCTCATAAAGAAGGCTGGCTCAGTTCTGGGGACTCCTCTAGAACCTTTGGAGATGATTGTTCAAAGAAGGATTCTTCATAAAATGAAGAACATTATAGACAACCCTCAGCATCCTCTTCATCAGACTGTCATACAACAACAGAGTGTCTTCAGTCAGAGGCTTCTTCAGATCTGTTGTAGGACAGACCACTACAAGAGATCCTTCCTGCCCACAGCCATCAGCATCTAGAACAACTCTTTAATGAAACCAGGATGACGAGTTACAACAACATTTAATTTCCCTCTGGGATTAATAAAGTATTTTTGAATTGAATTAGAAAATTATAACATTGTGAAGAGGTTCTGCATTGTAAACTGCTGGTGTCACACCCTAATCAACTGATCAACTCCCAGACATGAGCTACAAATGTCTCGTTCCTCATGTCGAGCCACTCCTGAACCAGAGGTAACATCAGAAGCGTCTTACCTGCTGAGGAAAAAAAGAACTGGACTGTTGCTCGGTGGTCCAATGTACATTTTCATATCATTCGGAAATCAAGGTCCCAGAGTCTGGAAGAAGAATGGAGAGGATCAGAATCCACGTTGCTTGAAGTCCAGTGATGTTTGGTGCCATGTCCTTTGCTGGTGTTGGTCCACGGTGTTTTCTGGAGTCCACAGAGACAACGCAGCATTTAGCAGGACATTTTAGAGGCTTCATGCTTCCTTCTGCTGACGACCTTTGTGGAGATGTTGATTTCATTTTCCAGCAGGACTCAGCTCCTGCCCACACTGTCAAAAGTACCAAATGCTGGCTGTGGAATATTCTAATTTTCTGAGAGACTCAATTTAGTTTTTTCATAATTTGTAAGTCATAATCATTAAAATGACAAGAAATAAAGGCTTGAAATATTTCACTGTGTTATGAATCTATGTAATGTATGAGACTCACTCTCTGAATGATTGACTAAAAAGAACTTTTCCACAATATTCTAGTTTTTTGAGACACACCTGTAATAACTGACTGTTTCGCATCAATTTACACGTCCTAAAGGTTTATCACTGAGAGAAAGCATTATAGAATGTAAACTGAGTAAACTTATTATTTTTTAGATATATAGAGCTACTATTTAGAGACAGAGATGCAGCGTTAACTAGCCAGCTGATGCTGATCTTGTACAGTGAGTTGTGTCTAAGTGAGCGTACAGCGTGCGTGCACGCTAACCTTTGCGTTGCTTTGCACTGCACGTGCCATGACGCCTCCTTCTTCAGTCATTCCATTAACTCACAAACACCAAGAAGTTCTGCTGCTGTCTGTGCCAGCTCTGCTTTGGATCAAATGTTCACAAATGTGCTTGTGACTTTCTAGGAACATCAACATAATTGCACTTACTCATAAGTTCTTAGACTTGGTAACGTTGCAGCATGAGTGGAAATGGAC